TCAACTAAATTAGTTGACACAATTACATACATATTTTGTTTAATTTAGGAAATACAATAAAGGATTTAATTGGATAAAGCGGCTCAAATAATAAAAAAAATTAAATGGGGCATATTAAATTATCAACTTCATTCATACAGATCATGCTGTGATCCTAACAGTTCCAATCACAGCCGTTCAAATACATAATCTTACTGATTAGCATCAATAGACGGCCAAGATTTCAGATGAAGTCGCAATTAGGCGTGCAATATGATGCAAGCCCACTTCCAATTTCTCTCCACTAAAAAATATGAAAAAAGGGCATTTACATACATACCACCCAATTTCTATATATTTATATATATAACACCTAAGCTTTAATTTTTGCATTTGTACCACTAAAATTTTTCATTTCAGATCGAAAATACAACTATTATTTTAAAAAAATAAAATAAAATGCAAAATTTTCATGTATATACGAGGTGGCAAATATTAAAAAATTATAATTTAGGTGCTAGAATTGTAAATGCATCGTAATCAAGTGGTATGTATGTAAATTTTCCTAAAAAGAAAATAAAAATAATTAAGTGGGGTTATGCATATAATTAGTGTGCAATCCACTTCCATGTGGATTGAGTTCTAAAAGATTAATTATAAGCTAGCTTTGTTAAACATTAATCACCTACTCGCTAATTATGAGAGAGAATTAATTAATTATTATTGCATAGCAAACAAATTTATTCACGGGAAACATAAATTTTACCTTCTTACATTTATACCACCAAGATCTTAAGGTGAAATTAAAAAAAAAAAACACTATTATTTTAAATCAAAAAAGGCGAAATGCACATTTTTATGTACAAGTAAGATGGCTGCCTTTAGAACCACTTTAAAATATTGTGGTTAATTACAAATTTTTAGGAGGGTGTATTTGCAAACTTTCCTATAAAACCAATATGAGGTGGTGGACTGGAAAAAATATTGCATACATACACTTGCATGCAGAGATGCATGCGGTGTTCGATCATAACCGTAGATCACGGTGATCTACGGTCAGGATGCAACATAATTTTTTTTTGAAAAAAAAATAATAAAGTGGGGTCCACCGAAATACCGATCTACGGCCAAGATCGGATACCGCATGCATCTCTGGATGCGGTGTATGTATGCAATAATTTTTCAATCCACTGAAGCTGACAGTGGTCATCTCTAGAAATTGAAAAAAGTCATTTTTTTTTAATTTTAATTACATGAATAATAAATTGGGGCATTTACATATAAACCTCACAATTCTTATGTATTTAGATATCTAACACTTAAATATTCATACATAACATAACAAAAAAATTATTTCAATCAACGTGATGTTCATTCAAGCCCTATCACCATCGCTACCACTTTAAGACTGAAGCACGTTGTCTTATTCATATGTTTATCATAGCAAAATATGATTAATATAAATATCAAAATTTCAGTGTTAGATATGCAAATGCATAATAATTGTGTGGTATGTATGTTAATTTCCCATGAAAATGGTGTGAAAAGGAAAAATTGTTCCATACGGACACCGTATGCAGCAATGCATGCAGTACCGATCTCCACCGCTCATCACCGCAAACATGCATTTGGGTGGACCCTAAAAAAAAATTAAAAATGGGGCCCACCGAAATACATGTTTGCGGTGATGAGCAGTGGAGATCGAACAGGGTATGCATTACCCTGTGGAATAATTTTTCGTGAAAAGGGGTGCTTTAATGCAAAAATTAAGGAAAAATTTTCTTAATACATTCTCATGCATTTTATAATTAATTATATTACATATGTCGGTGAAATTGTTTTTCAAATTTTTAAATATATAATAAATATAATTATATCTTAATATGTGATTAATATAATACTATTGTATTACAAAAGTAAAAATCAAATTATATGCATTAAATATATAATAATACGTAAAGTGACGTGGTATGTATGCAAATTTTCTAAAAAATAAAAATGGATGCATCATGAAATATTTTATTAGGCTATCCATCAACATAGCTCTTTATCAAAGTTTTATTTAATTTGATAAGATTCGTGCGGACAAAAATAAAAAGGGAAAACATTTATTTAAATGATTATTGCCATCATTTTCAATGTCAATAATAAGATTAATTTATACATAAGAATGACGTTGGTCACATTAAAATCATATACACTTGAGCTATTTAACTGATTTTTTGTCAATTAATTTTATAATCAAATTCATATATTATTTTTTAGATATTAAAAAAAATAATGAGTGTGTGTGTGTGTGTGCAGTCTACTGTGACTCTTTGAGTGACAGTTTGTAAGACACTTTGGGTCACGGGTTCAATTCTGTCTATATGTGTGATGAAATTATTAGACATATGAAGTTGGTCGGGAGACTCTTCTAATTACTTCTTGTCAATCTTTTTTTTATTTTATTTATATATATATGTTGGTTTGTGCATAGGTGCCAAAAGGTGGGATTAAGACATGGCACCAAATAAAGCCCTTAATTTTGTTTTTAGGTGCATTTATTTATTTATGTGGAGTCACCCTCAAATCCAAATAACAATTGGAAGCAACTAATTTGAAGAATAATGCCAATGAGAATAATAAAAATGAGCTTAATGACAATTGAAATGGTTGGTATTGTTATTGACTTCTCTTCCTAATTCATTACCACTAATAGAAGACAAAATATAAGTGGAAGGTGAAGGGAGTGATGGTGGTTAGCATTTGTTTTTCAATATACTTTTGTTTTGCTTTTTATGACCATGTCCTTATTACCACCCCTCTTTAATAGTGGTTGATTATATAAAAAAAGGTGTTTTTTTTTATAATAATTTTAAAGCATGCTTGGCTTAGTTGGTTTCTTATCTACTTTTGCAAGGAAAAAAAAGAATGAATAAAGCATAAATCACTATCATTAGCCTTATCTTAAACATTTAGGATGGCATTATATGACTTATTCTTTGTTTTTTTAATAGAGATATTATTAAATATATTTTTCACAAATCAATTATATTTACCTATTTTTGTTCTTGGCCCTAAACTCTAATTTTATTTGCATACCTAACCGATTTTAAGCTTCAAAATCATAAAATTTTATAGTTAAATTTCTCAAAATTAAGAAAATCCTTGTTAATTTTAATAAAATTGATTATTTGATGTAATGATAATGAAATAAATCAATTTCTAAGCAAAAGATGGTTGACCTCAACAAGAATGAAGTGATAGTTAAATTGTGAGTTTGAACCAATAAAAAATAGATTGTTCATAACACAGAGAATTCATTTTCTGTTATCTTCATTGCTAAAGCATCATCACTTAATTTTGATCGTCTTCTCATCATCAACAAACTCTGATCAATAAGTGTTGTCACTTAATCTTTGTTGTGCAATTATTGCCATTCAACTATCTTGGCATTCTACTACCTCTTTAGTAATCAATATAATACTAACATAAAAGCAAGATAATAGTCTCAATGTTATAAATCTTAACTTCTCTAAATTAATGTTATGAATAAGCTTTTTATAAAATATTTGCATTTTTTATTATCGTTAAATTCATAAAAAATGAGGATTTGGAATTAAATTATGATTTTCCTGGTCATATCATATATAATGAGTTTTTAGAGTAAGAAAAGAAAAGATTAGACTTTGATAAATATTTTAGTTAGAGGTATCTTAGATTGCAAACCTAATAAAACATTGGGCCTACAAATCATAATTACATGATTATTACCTTCATGACTAATAGTATTTCATCATGACATTTGGTTTGACTAAAAAGATTCTAGAGCCTATTCATTACTTGCATGTGAAATTATATATTATAAAAATGGTAAGATTTGTAGGAATTTATTTGTAAAGTTCAAAAAAAAAAGTTAGCAATTTGTGCTTCTAAAGTTTATAATATTCATAAAATTTTTAAATAAAATAATTATTTTTGTGCAAAAAATTAATGAAAAAAATTTATCATGTTCTATAATAATGTGTTGTTTACAAGTAATTGTGCTATTTTAATATTAATTTCTTTTAATATTAATGTGTTGTTTACACATCCATTGATCCCATATTAGTGTCATTTTTGTGTCATTTTCATAAGTGATAGAATTATGAGATGATGGTACATATTGCATGAGAAAATCATAAATTTGGCATGAAATTTGATGCAAATATCATATTTGCGCTCAAGGATTAAATAGTTTTTTTAAAAAAATTAATCTTGGGGACAATTGATCTTTGTTTTTTGCATATATAATAAAAATAATAAGTTCTTCATGATAACTCTAATAACATCAATAACATTTATATTGAATTAAAATGATCCTTCTTTCCCCTTCCTCCATGTACATGATGTCTATCATAAACTTTTTATAAGTTTTCTATATAAATACTTGAATTTAGAAATAACCTCTCTTAAATCTTTTTAGTGACTAAAAGCGGTCATTATTTAAAGATTTTAGGTCTATTTGGGGCAACTACAGCTTATTAAGCTATTGCAATTTTTTTTTTTTCTGAAAAAGTCTAGTTGTAATTAGAAAGCTACCACCACACCCAGGCAGGACAAGTGAGAAAATGCAGATTTCAGCGGTAGCTTTCGAAAAAGCTATCAAAACGAAGTTATACTCAAATGGATAAAACTACGGTGTTGCACTGCCGCCCCCAAACAGACCTTTGGAGAGCTATTTTAATCTCAGCCATAACATTTGTTGCAACTATGAGAATTTCTTGCTTTTCTTACATTGATCAATTTGAGAAATTTGAAGCAACTAGCTTTTAAAATAATGTTATTGGAGGAGTGATGATATCTTCAAACATCAACAAGGCATCCATTTATTGTACCAAAAGAAGCTAATATCAATCTTCTTCAAAATTTTAAAAATTATTATCAATGATTAAATCCTGCTTGCATTAAATTTATATTTCATCACACATTATTCATATCAAATAAATTAAAATTATTTCTAAACCATAAACTGGTGAAAGTAACATTATTAATGCATCTAAAGAAAAAACCGAAGAAGGCTCTTACACTGAAAATAATGGAGGAAAAACTCCTACAGCCCCCACCCTCAATTCTTATTTTTTTTCAAATAAACCTCTTATCTATCATTATTTACATAATCAATCTCGAAATTCACTTGCAAACTTTCACATAGTTGTAATATGCATGCAGACTCTGTGCACAACAGTGTTGTACATCATTATACATATGTTATACAACAATGTATAATGCTGTTCTACACAGACTCCACATGCTCGATCACATAACTGAGCAGGCATTGGGGTTTTCATCGCTGAAGAGCTGAGGAGCATGCACTGTGTCCATGTTGTATCCGAAAGAGTTGTAATAGTCCATCTTATTCATCGTCGCCGCCATCGGAGTCGCAATCGCCCCTGCCGCAACCACCTTCGCAACCTCCTCTTTCTCCTCTCCACCACCGCCCTCCTCCTTTTTCTTCTGGCCGCCACCACCTCCCCCCTCTTTCTTCTCGCTGCCACCGCCCTCCTTCTCCTTTTTCTTCTCGCCGCCGCCTCCCTCCTCTTTCTTCTCACCGCCACCTTCCTTCTCCTTCTTCTTCTTCTCACCACCACCTCCCTCATCTTTCTTTCCACCATTGCCACTGCCTTCCTCCTTCTTATTCTTTTTCTCATCTCCAGCCTTCTCCTTCTTATCACCTCCGCCATTCTTAGCTGAAACAATCTCAACACTACGTTTGAGCTTGTCCTTGAGGTACGTTGGCAGTGAATTCACGTCCATCGTACCTTTAACGGTCACAAAATCCTTCTGGTCATCCACACTTACTTCTTGCACGCCTGGGCATAAATATAATTATGGAAACATTAGGGATGATATTACATAGGCTAAATTCGTTGGTAAGCAAGAGAATTTTTTAAGTTTTTTTTTTTATATTAACAGTTTTTGAATTGTGTTTAGAAACCATTTAAGTATTAGAAGAAGGTTGCTTGTAAGAAAAAAAATTATGAGCATTTACATACTAAAAATTATTGTATCATGAGTCTTCATGCAGTTTTGCATAAAGACTCCAATCAGGATCTGGTCTGTCACGTGTACAGTCAGACCTACCTATGTATTAAATTGGACGTTGGCTTATACATATAGCCGACCCTGTTGGAGTTCTGATGTAAAACTGCATCAAAACTCATTTTACATCAAGACTCCTGATGCAATAATTTCTCATTCATATGCAATCCTCGCGGAGTTATGTTACAAACAGTATGCATATTAATTATAAGAAAAAAAAAAGGTTGCTTATGAATGTAAATCCCTTAAAAAAAAAGTAATAGCAGTCCTCTAAATATTTTATAAAAAGTAGGCATATTAATTATAATAAATATCTGGAAAATTTGCCAAATTACACAAAGTAAGTAAACTAACCACTAAAATAAAATAGAAAACAAATAAATAAATTAGTTACCTTTAACCTTAAGAATAGTCTTCTTGATTCTTTGAATGCAGCCGTGGCAGTGTAGGCGAATCTGCAGCACCACGGTCGAAGCCACCAACTAACATAATATGAATTAAAAATAATAATTTAATTTTTCATCCATTGCTAAATGTAATTGCTGCTGTAAAATTTTATTTTATTAGGTACTTAATTGCAAATAAAAATAACTTTTTTTGGTCAGCAACCGACCTCCTTTGATTTCTTTTGGTCCTTCGAATCACCGCCAGCGCCAGCGGCGGCAGAGGCCGGCTTCTTTTCCCCCCCCTCGGTCTCCCTCT